CCGCCCAGCGAACCATCATGGTTGGCAGCGCCGAGGCAGCTTATGCTGCGCAAGTGGCTCAATTGAAGGAAGATTTATATAGCGACTTGACTGGCTTGATACTGCGGGGTGTGGAGAGGAAAGATGAGTCTGATATCTATGATTGCATTCAGACAGGCCGAAACGGCAGTAAGTCTTGCCTCACACGGAAGGCGGAATGATACCCCAGTTCTGACATGTGCTCGCAGCACTCCACTTCAAGCTCGCAATAGCCAAAGAAACCGACGGCGGCTACGAAAACACCGAATTCCAGTACACACCACGCTTGGACAGCAACCGCGATCGCGATATGATCGCTTTGCTACCGGAATACCTCACGGACGAAATCACCTTCTCGAGGACCAACGCTGCCATGTTTTACGGCAGAGTCGTCGAGACGCTGACGAAAAAGAGGCCGGTGGAGGTACAGGAGTAGCCAGGGGCTGGGCATCAATCGAGGCGTTCAGGCGACAGGGATACGAGCAACAGCGTTAAGAGAGGTCAATGAGTTTTGTAGTGCAAGTTTATGGTACAAGTGATTGCATGAGATTGCCATGAATTGAATTAGTATTAGCAGCCTACTTGTCAAGTATCCTTCTTCTCTATCATCCCATTGCTCTCCTTCGCACCATGACCATGACCATTAACCTTGACTTCCTCCTTCCCGTCCATCCTCCTCTCTTCCTTCCCCTCCCCCATATCACCCCCAACCTCAACCCCACTCACAAAGATCTCACTCACAATCTCCAACCCCGCCACAAACACACAAAGCACACTCGCAATAACAAAGTGACTAATACTTGTCCCAATATCCAACCAGCTCCCCTCATCCCTGACCAGCCAGAAGAAGTTCATGGTGAGCACGTCACTCATCGCCATAACCAGCATGAAAAGACTGCTCGGCGCAACACCGAGTCTTCGGTTGAGGATGCCTAGGTTGGCGCTGATGACGGCGAAAGGGATGATGAGTTTGAGAACGAGGAGGAGACCTTGGGAGAAAGGGTCGAAGATGGGTATGAGACGGTAGACGGAGTCGAGGGAGAAGGAGGCGAGGGAGGCGATGTTGCCGGTGGAGAAGAAGGCGGATTGGAGGAGGTAGAGGAAGAAGAGGGAGACGCGGGCGTCGGAGAGGGTGAGGGAGCGGTATTGGGGTGCGGTTGAGTCGGTCGGTTTACCCGTGGGTGATTGCAGTTGTGTTGATATTGCTGTGAGAGCGTCGTAGAGGGGCTTTGGTTCTAAGTTTGGGGATGGCGGAAGGGATGAAGAGGCGGTGGTGGTGTAATTGTAGATGTGGTGTTCGAGACGCACCCAGGTGACGAGGGTGGCGCAGAAGGCGAAGTAGAAAAGTCCTTCGTAGGAGATGGTGAGGATGATGAAGATTGGTGAGAAGGTTAGGAAGATGATGACAAGGCGGTGGAGATAGTGATTATTTGGTTGAAGACTGTGGAGGAAGGGTATGGACAGAGACGCAACTAGGATGTTGTCAGTATGTTTTTCAGCCTTCGAATCGCAAATGTTTTGCATACTCAAGATTGTCCAACCAACCACTTGATTACCCAATGGCAGGCCTGTTTTGGCCTGCAGGGATGCCACGCTAGATCGAGTAACGATCATGGCCAGCATGATCAAGCCAACTTGGACTCCGAGTAGAGTTCCTGAAAGACCGTCAAGCGAAGCCTGTTTGCCGCCGGTTGTTGAAGAAAGAATGCTCTTTTCGAAAAGAATGTATAGTACACCGACGAGCACCATCAGGAAACCGCCAGTCAGTCTATCAGAAGAATGATCAGCACATAGATTACAGCCTTGAAAGTTGGGAAGGCAATGGATATGTTAAGGCGATTCCTGAGATACGCGCATGAGAAGTCGCTCAAAGGAGAACGTACATCATGTTAACATTTTCGGTTTTGATGGCAGGCAAAAGAGTGAAAACACTCATAGATTGACAGGCGACAGCCCATGTTCCAACCAGAATTTTATTACACATGACGAAATCGCGGCCGTAGAAAACAGGCCAGAACGAAAGGCCTATGAAGCAGACAGTGTAAACGGTACGGTGGAAATATGATAATACCTAGAATGGTAAGTCATTCCAGACATTACTGCATCAGAGGGATACTCACAAGGACTTCTAGGAAAACTACAAACACCAAAGTCTCTATGCCTAATACGGCTTTCTCTCTTTTAGATTGTATATTATTGAAGAGGACATGACTTCCCAGTAGTAAAGCCTCTCTTCGCGCCACCACTTCTTCCCAAAAGAGAGGTGGAAATGCGGCGTACGCGTAGTAAGTAAGCGGCGCGTTGCGCATGAACAGATACGAGAACAAAGCAGCCGAGATGGCACCGAAAGTTGAAGAAGTTGCAATAGTCCTGGAAGTGTGGGTCTTGCCATGCAATACGTGCATATCGATGATGGTAGTAATGGCGAAAGCAATCCATCCCAAATAGCCAAGGGTCACAAGCACCCGCAAAAACAGCCAGTCATATCTCTGAAGGTATCGGAGACCGTCCAGCCCAGTATGGAGGAGCTCTTGGCTCATTGTGATTGCTTGCTGAAAGTGTCCCTGGTCAATTTCTGTTCTTATTTCCATTACGCGATGATCAACCGAGTGCTGTTCGTCCGCAAGTGGGCCATATGCTTTGTAACGCAATTCATTGGCTTTCTTCTGCTCTTCTTTGACCTTGTACATCTCCAGCACGCCTCGAGCATTGGCAAGCGCTGCCTCCGCCTTTTCCTTCGGCTCTCCGGCAACATAAGCGAGTGGAAGCTCACCGACAGAGTTGACTGGAAAGTCGACGCCGGCAAGATAAGCCATTAGTGCCGCGACATCTGCTTGATCGACATCGTTTCTTTGCACACGATCAAGGCCCCAGTCTGCGGAGAAACCGTCTTCGTGTCCAATGGCCTTACTCGAGGCGCTAATGACAGGTTTTGCAACACCAGAGCCCCACACGATCAAAGGTGTCCGTGTGTTGTCAGGATGGCCATCTCCATGACTGCCCCAGTCGCTCATACCGTGGTCAGCAGTGAAAACGAATGCCGTTTTGCCATCGCCATAAAAGTCTTCAATGAGCTTCGTCATCTCCCTCACACCCTGGTCCACGACCTTGATATTGTGGAGGTACTCCTTTGAGTAGGGTCTATATGAATGTCCAGTGGTATCGAGACCGAGAAGGTGGAGGAAGAAGACATTCTTGTCCTGTCGGAGGGCGTGGTCGAGCGTCGTATTCTTAGCAGCAGCGCTGAACAAGACCTTGACCTTATCGAAGACCCAGGTATCCAATTGCGTTGCATCTGCTGATCGTCAGCCATTGATCGCGGTGGTCCAGCTCTTGGACATAGACCTTTCGTGAAGTCCTCGAATTCTTCTCCGTAGGTCTCGGCATCAATTCTGCCTTTGACAGCTCCCTCCTTAAACATTGGCAAGATATCAGGACTGCCCCAGCTCCAAGTGTGCCTACTTCGATTGAAAACGCTGTCAAAGTTGACCGGGTTAAGCTTCCAGCCCGTAGTAACCGAGGACACATCCTCGTACAAGCCGGCTATCAAGGCGACATGTCCAGGCCTAGACTCTGTGGGCATTCTCGTATGTGATACTCCAAAGGTCCCGCTTGTTAAAACGCGTGACCGAAGGAAGGGCGCCAGAGGTCGAGGCTCGAGTGCGCCAGGCGCATTGGGGCTTGATGGCGAAGGGTCGGGGAAGGATTGAAAGGCCTTGTCGGCACGGAGTCCATCTCCAACGAAAAGAACAAGCCGCTTGGCTGGTGCTTCTGCGCCATGACTCCTTTGGACACCAAAGGAGCTCATGCCATGAACGATTGGACTGACAAAATAGATGTCAAAGATGGAGACAATATACACCGAATGGAAAAAGATAGCCACACCAAGGAAGCCGAACCTCCCAAGGCGTGCCATCTTGACAAAATGAATGAAAGCTGACCAGGTGTCAGTGTATCACGGACCGCAGGGCGGAATCGGGGTGTCCATAGAGCTGATGAAGTTACCTTGGCGTGACAAGCTGACAGAAAAGTCCTGGATGCCAAGGCTTCTGCGCCAATATCTCGGATAACGCCCCGTCCGAAGGGTTACAACGCGCTTAGATCTGCTTCGGAATTAAGTCTGACGTGAGCCTCATTTGGGCCCCATCAGGCCCAATAGAAGTCCCTAAAATTCAATTTATGCGCTTCCAGGTAAAGTTCTAGGGCCCGGAGCTAAAGGGTCGCCTTCCGAAAGTAGGGTTAGGGCTAACGGGTTTCTGACACTTGGCCACTTAGCCGCGTTGCGCTTAGTGCAGGAAACTTTACGCCCCGGATAATTCGAGCTCTATTGTATCTTACATCCTCAGCCTGCCTTCATACTAATAACCTCACCACCATTCAGTTTATCTAGAAGTGACCAGTTCAAAAACAAGAAAGCCTCCCGTTGCTAACACACCTTCAGATACTATCAACAAAGTCTTCTTGCGTGGTCGTCCTCGACTCAATGACGATGTCATAATTCATTATCGATACTCTGATATCATAGCACAAGACGATTGCTTTTGAGAATTAGAGCGCTCTCTAGAAACGTTGAGAATACCAGATCAATCTGAAGTCCTGAAGAAGACTCATAGCGTTAGGAATTGTCCTTCGGTTTGGTTTCATATCGCCTGTTGTATTCACCAAAAAAGAGACGCGTTTCTCAACTTTCGCTTAGCACAAGTGAGTCAATTCTCATCTAGAGTGAAGGACTATTACAATGCTGGCATCTTAACGCCGAGAACTTTCATACTTCAGGAGATTTCCAAAGCCCGTGACTCCGAAAAACGAAAAAGGCGTTGATGTTTGGTGCAAAAAGGAGACACTACAAATGTCTTTCGGGAAAGATGATGTATATTTCGCACCAAGATGCGTCAAGCAGGTACAACAAGGTCTTCTTCATGTTGGAAGTCGCACGTTGTAGTGTAAAGCGCAGAAGGAATTCGATTATAGATACGTGCCTTTTACATCATCTCAATTTGACGGTCTGACTTCATCGAGACCTTGACACCGTTCGCAGGGAAGCACACGACACCAAGGTTCTCGGTCCAAGGCTCGGACTTCCTACTCTCCAATGTTTCAAACGCCTGCACAATGTGTACTGTGGTGCACAGCGCTACGGTGAAGCCGAATTGCTCTGTCAAATATATCAACGTCAGCTCTCCACGATGTCTCCTTTGAATAGGGGTGAGACGTACGACCAATGTACTGCCTCGGTCCGCCACTGAAGGCCAGGAATCTCTGCGTTCATCCAGTCAGCAGTTGAACTGCGTTGAGCGAGTTACTATCCTGCCGTACCCAAACACTTGCGTGGCTCTCCCATCGCTCTGGAGGAATTCATCTGCATCTCTGCCCCAAAGGTTTTGACGGCGGTGGAGTTGAGAAGCATGGAATTCTACTTGAGTACCTTCCGGGACGAAGACAGGGTCTCGACCTTCGGGGCCGCCTCCAAGAGGGAGAGTAGTGTCTTTGAGGGCTGCGCGGGCGTGTGTTTTAAAGTGGGTAAAGGCGGAGCGCTGTGAGGTTTTGTCAGTCAAGTCGGTCTAATCATCCAGCAAGTGTGTTAAGTGATCAAGGGGGGTGGATCTGCGCAGACAGTTGCTGGTCGCTTGATTTCGTTCAGGACATATTTGATGTATTGCATCTGCTGCAGATTCCGGACTGTAGGCTGTTCGCCTTTGAGGTAGGCTACCTCAGATCGGAATTGTAGCCAGATATGACTTCGCCTAGTAAGCGCGAAGAACAAAATACAAAGTAGACTCCCAGTGGTATCTCGTCCGGCTAATAGGATAGTCAGGACTTCGTCGCGGAGACGATCTTGATCACTGATCACTTTGCTAAGTTCGTAAAGCAAAACGTATTTCTCCTTTGTCGCTGCTCCTTCCGGCGATCTTTGCTTCTCATGAAATTTGGAGTCTTTCATGACATGTTGCTCTATGTACTGCCTCATGATTTTTTCTTGCAGTTCTAGAATCTTTATAATGAGAAGACTAATCTTCATATCTGTAATTTTTCTATATCTATAGTATCTAGTACTCTATCAGATGGGGGCGCGACCCCGTGTGGATGCCAAGAAATCGAGTTCTATTTGAATATGCTAAATGAGGTTGGAACTACATCCTTTCCTCTACTTATCATTGTTGAGAACATCCGTATGAACATGAGTTCCCAATAGCACTGCTCCGAGATTCATCATGCAACAACAGAATGGCAACCATACGAAACCTTGATCTCGAATTTTGATCATCGGTGGTGGTCTAGCTGGATTGGCAACCGCAATAGCTGTCACGCTGGCGGGTCATGAAGCAATCATTTTCGAGCGAATGCCCGAATGAAAGGAGGTGCGTAGGCACTATACCAACTACGACGGTACCAGCTGATGCGTTGCGGGAATAAGATCGGCGTAGGCATCCAGTGTCCGCCAAACGCTACAATTCTCTTCAAACAAGAGGGCATCCTGGAAGAGATTCGAGAACACGCCGTCGAACCTCAAGAGCGGATCATGCGATCGTATCGTGGCGCCACAGGGCTGACGCAACGAACCGGCGCGCTCGTCGAAGACGCCTACCGAGTACCATACCTTCTCGTACAAGTTTCTTGGCATCTATCGACGGCTTCGCCTGGAGCGCAGCATGACAGTCAAACACATGTTTGGGATGGCCTCCGGGCCGGCACAGCACGAACGAGATCGCAGACTTTCGCTGGGTAAGCACGAAGGGTCGCCGTTCGCTCTGGATGATCCGGTCTTGCAACAATAATGGTTGTGGGGACACGACGCAATCTTAGAAGCTAGAGAAGGCTGGAAGAGCTCCCTTCCTTCAATACATCAACGCCGTACAGGAATGAAACGATCCTTTCGCCAGTGCAAGAGTCCCCTGTCTCAGAGCCCAGTCCACCACCATGTTTGGCCCTCCTCTAATCTTCCCTCTAAGAATCGGCCTTGGCTACTAGTCCCAACCAAAACCCCATACTCCCCCTCCTCCACGATCCACGCATCCCTCCCCTCGTCCCAGAAGCTGATCGCGTATTTCTTCTCCATTTCCACCTGCACCTCCCTCGTTTCCTCCGCCTCCAAGAACACCTTCTTGAAACCCTTCAGCTCCTTGGGCGGCCGGTTGATACTAGGTGCCTGAGCCCTCACATACACTTGCACCACCTCCGCCCCGGCTCGAGAGCCGGAATTTGAGACATTTACTCTGACACTGATGGTCGAGGTGGTCGCGGAGACATTCAGATCTGAGAGGTCGAAATCGGTATACGAGAGGCCATGGCCGAAGGGAAAGAGGGCCGGACGTTTGACTTTGTCATAGAAGCGATAGCCGACGTAGATGTCTTCGCCATATAGGACACGGCCGCGTTCGGAGCGGTAGTTGAGGAAGGCGGGGTTGTCTTCGAGGCGGTGAGGAAAGGATAGGGATAGCTTGCCGGACTGGGAAGGTATCAGCTTAGAAAACCATGCTGATAAAAGGATGCGGAGGCGGATGATTACAGGATTGACATCCCCGAACAAGACATCAGCAATGGCATTACCGGTCTCGTTGCCGCCATACCAAGCCTGCACCAGAGCGCAGGCTTTGTCAACCCAAGGCATGGTCACCGGCGTGCCGCTTTGGAGAACGATCGCAGCCTTTGGGTTTGCGTCGAGGACTTTGCTGATGAGTTCGTCACTGTAAGGCGGTAAGTCCATATCAGGTCTATCGGAACCTTCGCCCTCCCAATCACTATTCAGACCAGCAAAGACGACCACTTGTTCAACCTCAGAGGCCAGCTTGACAGCGTCGACGATTGCTTTTTCCGGATCTATACGCTTGCATCCGCCCACGCGGAGGCCGCCGGCTCCGAAGGAGACTGTTGCTCGACTCGAAGACTTTGCCGTGGGAGCGGTACCAAATTCGACGCGGACCTTGTACGATTTTCCAGCCTCGAGGGCCATCGATCCGATCTCTTCAACGGTGCCGGAACCGAAGAAAGCGGTGCCAGGGCGCTGATCGTGTACATTGTCTACGATCAGTTTTCCATCAATGAAAAGCTGGCCGGTGCCTTGCACGGTCAAGCCGAACTCATAGGTACCTTCTTCTTCGGGTGTAAAAACACCCTCGACATCGACATAATAGGTCGAGCTGGTGTAATTCGGGACCTTGTAGTCCATCACGAACATGTATGAATCAGTGAGGTGCAACGTATCGAGCAGCTTTCGATCCGCAGCGTTGACCGGTTTGTCGTACGCTCGGAAGTCAAAGCCGGGTCTGCCATCTGAGGTCCGCAGCGATTTTCCAAGCAAGGGAAGCTCTTTGTGGCTGTAGGCACCCTGTGAGAAGCGTACGGACCCGCATTGACTCGAGACTCCGTCAAAAGGGGTCACTGTATAGTATGGCAGCAGGGACGCACTGCCGCCTCCAGAATAGGTGGCGACTTTGGCGTTCGGACCGATGACAGCTACAGTCTTGCTCTTGTCAAACGGAAGAATTGAAGTTTCGTTCTTGAGCAGCACAATAGACTCAGCGGCGACACGCCGTAGGAATCTCTGGTCTTCAGGTCTGTTCAGCCCGCCCTCTTTCGCATCCTCGACGACGCCAGACTTGGCAGCTTCTTTAATTGTCTTCAGCACTGCGCGCGCCCTTTCATCCAGCACATGTTGCCGTACTTTGTTGGAGGTCACGGCGTGGCTGAGCGCGGCACCACGCCATTGCGTAGGTCCCGGCATTTCGAGATCCAAGCCAGCGTTGATGCCTTCCGAGGTGCTATAGGTGCCATACCTTTGAAATTTAGCTATTGATCTCTCGTTTCGCTCGGAACATTCACCAGTCACTCATCAGCAGCCCTTCCCAGCCCCAGTCTTTCCGTAGTATGTCAAGAACCTTGGGGTTTTCAGCAGCATGTGTCCCATTGACTTTGTTATAAGCAGTCATGACAGCCTTAGGTCTGGCATTTTTGATAGCCAGCATGAAAGGCATAAGGTAAATTTCCCGCAGTGCCCTATCGGTAACGATACTATCTACTGCCAACCGTTCATGCTCTTGATCATTGCAAACAAAGTGTTTCGGCGTCGTAATAATTTTTTCTTCGTGTACTCCCTTACAGTACTCGCCGGCCAGTGTTCCCGATAGAAAAGGATCCTCGGAAAATGATTCATAGCCACGACCTCCGAGCGGGGAACGTTGAATGTTGATTGTGGGTGCCAGTAGAACATGTGCACCCTTGGCCTTGGCCTCTTGCCCCAAGAATCTGCCAATTGAGCGGAGCAAATCAACGTCAAAGGTTGCTCCAAGCGCCGTCGCACATGGAAGACATCCTGCTGGTGTGCCATTGAAGAAACGAGTACCCCGGACACCGTTGGGTCCGTCGGATGTACGTATAGCTGGAACGCCAAGTCGAGGAATAGGAACTGTATGCCAGAAGTCTCTGCCTGGCTTGTAGTCAGAACCTTGTCAGGCGACTTTGAGTCCACAGTCCCAAAATGCAAAATTATAACTCAATATTGTGTGTTTTCATCTGATTCTGGGGTGACGGCTTCGGAAATGAGCTCTTATGCTGACCAAGACATTGGGCAGTATATTTCCTTTGAAGATAGAAAAATCCCAATGCAAAGCCACGACACCTTCACAGCTGATGGAAAATGCCAAGTTGATGTACAGAGGGAGGCACAAAAGGCGGATATTGGGCCGCGCTCGATCTTCGTGCTCCCCAAAAGTGCCAGGATTGGGGGAACTAACCAGCGGTAAGAGAGACCTTTTCCTCTAGTGTCAACTCCGAGAGTACCTTTTCCACATCTATATCCGCCATTGCTGATAATTGAAAGCTAAATAGAGAAAGCAACGCGGGAGTAACAATAATGAACGATGAATCTCTAGATTGATGGCATCATTTTGTCTTTTTGCGTGGGGCGACTACTCATTGCTGAGGAGTTTTCCACCACACTAGCAAGAATCGTAGCGTTATAACGGCGAGGATGAAAGCAGCCTGGTACCATGAAGTCGATATGATGCCCCTCTACGCTCGACCTACCATATCGGGCTAGGGGCGGAGCAAGTCCGCGCTCGGGCTGGGAAGCGTCTGAGCTATTTCCTTGATCAAATATCAAGTCATCAACTTTAAAGAGGTCGGATGCTTCAAAATTTTCATTCTACGTTATTAGCATTAGGTAGCTATTTTCTTCACTCGGTTCTCTTCCCACAGAAATTCCTTGGATGGGTTAAAACTAGGACAGAAGCATCTCGAGATGCACATTATGTTACAACCTCACACAAAGGCCACTTTCTCAGTCAATGGCATGGATACTGTACCATCTCGTCATCCCACAATAGGAGACTCCGTCTTGTGACATAGCTCCTGGTATATGGTGCTTGCCCTTTCCAGGCTCCCATCCAGGGCACAACTCTTCGCCGAGATACATCTTCACACTTTGCGAAGAACATAACTTGTTCCAGTTTGGAATCTATGGAAAATGAGTACTTCCATTGTCAATCCACCGCGTGATCCAAACACACTTTCAAATTACCATAACTTTCTCACGACTCATACTGAGGTCAACTTCAATATTGACTTTGAGAAGAGAAACATCAGTGGAAACGTTGCGCTAACCCTCAAGTCGATCACTGATGCGGCAGCGAAGGAGATTTTGCTCGATACTAGCTTCCTGAACGTAAAGGACGTGGTCTTGGATGGAAAGACTCCTAAGTGGGACTTGCTACCCAGGTTTGAGCCATATGGATCGGCTCTGAAGATAAGTCTGGAAGACGGCGTCCAAAATGGAAAGAGTGTGCAACTTGAGATGTCAACGGAGACGACCGAGGAGTGCACGGCGATCCAGTGGCTCACGCCGGCTCAGACAAGAAGTGAACACCCTTATATGTTCACTCAATGTCAGGCCATTCATACAAGGTCTGTATTCCCTTGTCAAGACACGCCTGATGTCAAGGGGACTGTTCAATTCAACATCGAGTCTCCTTTGCCTGTCATCGCTAGTGGACTTTCTATTGGCGTCAAAGACCTTGAGAAGGGCGCCAACAGCGCGATTGGGACCAAGCTCTACACATTTGAGCAGAACATTCCCATACCGAGCTATTTGTTCGCCTTAGCCAGTGGCGATATTGCCAAAGCGCCCATCGGGCCTCGAAGCGTAGTTGCAACCGGGCCGAAAGAATTGAAGGCAGCACAATGGGAGCTTGAGGAATCTACAGAAAGATACATTGAGACGGTCGAAGTCTGTATTGCGGTCCGCATCGTCAGGGTTGTGCTGATGTAGAGTCCAGAAAATTGTCTTTCCGTATCAGTGGACGGAGTATAACGTGCTTGTCCTGCCGCCAAGCTTCCCTTACGGAGGAATGGAGAATCCTGTTTACACATATGCCACCCCAACAATGATATCGGGCGATCGAGAGAATGTTGACGTGATTGCCCACGAACTCTCACATTCATATAGCGGCAATTTGGTTTCCAACGCCAGCTGGGAACACTTTTGGCTCAATGAGGGCTGGACAACATATCTTGAGCGCAGGTTACAAGCCGCGGTACATGGCGAACCCCACAGAGATTTTTCCTCGATTATTGGATGGAAGTCTCTTCAAGACTCGGTGAAGCAGTTCGGAGATTCGCACGAATTCACCAAAATGGTCGTCGACCTCAAGGGCAAGGACCCTGATGACGCTTTCTCGAGTATACCTTACGAGAAAGGCTACACGTTTCTCTCTTACCTCGAGAACCAGGTGACTAAGAACAAATGGAACACATATATCCCCCATTACTTCACCACCTTTGCTCGCAGGTCTCTCGATTCCTACGACTTCAAAGCAAATCTGCTGTCTTTCTTCGCCTCCGACACCATCGCATCCAAGGCGCTCAACGATGTAGACTGGGACTCGTGGTTCTACACTCCAGGACTACCTCCAAAACCCAACTTCGACACCTCGCTCGTTGACGTTTGCTACGACCTCGCCTCAAAGTGGGAGACCGGTAAATTTGAGCCCAGACAGGAAGACATCAAAGGCTGGTCGGCGAATCAAGTGGTGGTCTTCCTGGACACCGTGCAAGCATTTGCAAAACCTCTGGACGAGCGAGCTTCGCAAACGATGGGGTCAACTTATGGCTTTGCCAAAAGCCAGAACGTCGAGGTTGTCTCTCGGTATTATCAAGCGGCACTGAAAGCAAAGGACGAGACGGTGTTCAAACCAACGGCGGAACTATTGGGCAAGGTTGGCAGGATGAAATTTGTGCGGCCATTGTGAGTGACCACGCACGCTCTTGTGCAGAAGGAAGCTAACGCCCGACGATGCACAGGTACAGGCTACTCAACGAAGCTGACCGTGCTCTAGCAGTGGAGACTTTTGAGAAGAACAAGGACTTCTACCATCCCATCTGCAAAAACTTGGTCGAGAAAGACCTGTTTGGGAAGGGGACTAAGTCTTAAGATTTAAGATACTCCCTGTAGATGAAAAGGGGTAGGCGTTGAAGGTGAGAAACTATCGGTCCGCAATTAGATCATTTAAGCTCTAAAGAAAAGGCGTATCCTACCACTCAATACCAATGGAACCATGACAAGTACCGTTCTTCCCCTCCCTCAGACAAAGCATGACCCTTCTCCCAACCCAACTGCACGCTCCACTCCACTCCACTCCCCACCCCTCCCACCTCACCGTCCCCGCAACCCGAAAAACAAGCCGCGTCCCCGGCATCATCACCCGCCTCCAGCCTTGCCCGAGCGCCACCCTCAGCTCCTCCTTCCGAAGCCCCACCCACCCACACCACGTGCCCCGGCCCAATCATCGTCCAATGCGCCCCACGTCATGAAACCTCACCCCCGTCCCACTCCCACTCGCTCAAACGATCCGCCGGCCACTCCTCGAGGAAGTATGCGAGGTTCAGCATGCATTCGGTCCGATCGAGTCGCCGCATGCGGGCTTTGATTTTCCGGGGGGGGGGCGCAGGTGGAAAAGAGGCGAGGAAACGCACTCCGGCGCCGGGTGCGTTCGCGCACCGGCGGTTGGCGCTTCATTCCAAAGGCGGTGGCGCGCTGGGGCGGGAGGGTCCGGTGGGGTTGACGTCGTTGGGACGGTGTCTACGGCTTCGGCGACGCGGGGGGGAAGGGTGATGTCGAGTGCTGCGGCTAGAGATCGGGCGGTTGGATGTGTCGATGTTGCGCTGGTGGGGATTTGGGCGGTCGGGTTGAGTCCGCTTTTTCGATGGCTCGGGTCCCCCCTTTGCGAGGTCGATGGATGTTACGCCCGTTTCGAAGGAACATGTATTGCTCCTCCACTCATTGATTTTATTCCTGACAAGTGATACGGTTTTGGAAGGTAGATATTCTTCAATCGCCACTGTGGGGCTGTGAGTTAGTGGGTTCAATAGTGGGCCCGACCGGGGCAAAGAAGACCGTGAATGAAGACATTCATCAGCAGTGAGCACTATATCTACTCGTCCTCTACCAGCATATGACTCTTCATTCGATTCCGTCTCATTCAGATTCACAGCATTCATCTATTATGTTAGTATTGCTTCGAAAACTCACGCCGGCGAGATGGGTCAGAGCGTGTGAGACGGAGAGCGCGGGGCCGGCGGGAATACAGACAAGTTTCCGGCGACGGCAAGGCTTGGATCGCCAGATACTACCCATGCAGCGCTCTTTTCGGCTTCCTGAATGCAAACGAGCCTTTACAGTTGGGTGATGGGTTCTCGTATAGTACCTGGCATACCGACAAAACTCGCAGCCTGCCCCGAGGATTTGCTTCGTAAAATCAGGAGAGACGGTGGAGCTTTCGATGAATGGTTTGCCGGGTAGGTTAGGCTGCGTCGATGGCAGCATCTCGGCGAATGTCTGCTCAATGGCTTCCTGGTCCTGGGAATACGACCAAATGATGTTGGCGTTTGTGACGACATCCCTTACGACATTCTTGGTGGTGAGGGCCGTTGATGATTCACTCGAAGCGGATGAGTACTAGTACAGGTGCTTATTACATGACGGAGGTAAGGAATTCGAACAGTGGGACACTGCTCTACCCGACGACTGACCTTTCCATGAAGCCAATGGTCATGTCGGGTAAGCTAAGTGTGGTTGCAGGCCACGCCTTGGATATAGCAAAGGCATCTGAGACGTGGCTTTCAGCCTATGAGGTTGCAAGAAAGCATGTGCATGTTTTGGAAGATAATGTTGGTAAGTCTGGCGACCTTGACATTGTATATGGGATTGCAGCTAGCGAGTAACTTGAACTATGAGCAGAGCTAATAGGAACAGCCGTCATTGCATGCTGATACTTGGTTGAAATCTGCAATACATTCAAAGAAAGACCCTCTCTGCAGAAAGAATTTCTCCCGATTGTCGCCATTACTCAGTCCTCGTAGCCTCGAAGTAGAGCAGCTCCAACGTAGAACCCTTCGTCGGCACCTTCTTCAAGTTTGCCTCTATCTTCCATTTGGTCGTGGTCTTCTTCTCAACTTCAGTCCATAGCTTTTGGAATGTCTCTTCGTCGTGCGAGTAAGTCACTCCAACCACGCCAGCGGGGTGGCGATATTCCCCAGGCTTTGAGGAACCGAGCTGTCTGCCTAATATGATGGTTCCGGGTTTATTCTTCAGGAATCCCATCAATCGCACTGCTGCCCTGACCTGCTCATCCCACCCGAAAATATGCAGGAACGAAGCAATGTGCAGGATGTCAATCGTACCATCCAAGGACTTCATAGCACTTCCAGTTGTGTCTTCAAAGAAATCGCCCGTGACGAATCGGCCTTGGTAAGTCTTGCGATCCATGAACAGATCGTATCCCATGTCAATGAATTCAGGCTTCAATTCTACGCCCACGAGTTGAGATCCAGGTGCGCCATCAAGGAGTAGCTTCCGTAGGTCCTGTCCAAAGCAGCAGCCAACATCCATTAAGGTCTTTGGGTCTTCTTTGCTGGAAAGGCTGGAAAGTATTTTGTCGTACGAGGGCATGGTAGAAAGCGAAAAGTCTAGGAAACGCAGGCGTCCAATACAAGGGTATGGAAAGATCTGCCAGGCCCGTTCACGCTATGAATACATTTCCACCGTCAGTATACCCACCAGGAGAAGGCATGTAACGCGGGGAGGGTGGATCGATATATAGTGACCAAGTGACAGACTTGAAGTCAAAGGAGATGTGGCATACCAATTGTAGCACGTGGGGTTGCACTTCGGCAGCTGGGATTTTGCTGTACTCTTCAAAGAGCGTCCGTACCGCCGGCGGCAGGTCGGGTAAGTCAGCATCATGGATGTAATCAGCGACATCCTTGCTCTGGCCGGTACCGGTCGGAGCAGTTGTTTGTATCTCAGTGGCCATGATATTGTTGGTATACGAAAGGTAAGGTGTCTGGTCAAGATTGTTGATCGAAGTAGAAGAATTGCATGAAAGTATAGGGACTACTTAAGCTATGTTTCCCCCCCTAAAAACTGACATTGGGATAAAGTAGATGATGTAATTGACTATGCAGCTATATGAATAGGGGGAGGGGTAAAGCGATATCGAGACACTGCCGGAACGCTCGGCATAAGGTACATGTTGCATGTTGTTGCTGAATTATATTTTTTCCATGGATAAACTATGTCGAGGTTATTCGAGAGACCTCGTACAGAAGGTCTTACCGATATATCAGGAGCTAGCTCCGGGCGCTAGAGGCTTCGGGAGCTATTACGGGAGCTACCCCGCCAAACCCTCTAAACATCAACCGACCCCGAGATCGTGCGAGTCAGACAAAGTTCTCGCGTGGGTATGTGCATAGGGGCGTGGGGACCCTGCGCATGCCTACACCTGGGGCCATGCCTAATGCCTACCCAGCTCCTCCAGCTCCTAGTGCCACGAGCATGCCCTTACGCAGATCGGCTCGAGCAGCTCCTAGCGTTATAGCTAATCCCCGGACCACTAATGCTCGGTCACAAGTGCGGTCCGAAAGACCTCGCCTCGGTTACAAATATAGTCCGAAAGAAATAAGCTCGGTATAGCTTTAGTCAGTGCTGCATTGATGTGGGATTCACACGCCACGACGATATGATAGACGACGACGTGGGATCCATAGATAACATGTCGTATCCATAAGGAGGTACACCGTACTAACGGAATTTTGTCCATGAGATGGATGCCAAGGACACCCTGAATAGGTAAGTACTTTCTCCATGCACGCTGTTTTACGTATCAATCTAGCACTTATGCATACCTCATACATACATTGTCCATGCTTTATGTCTTGTTTCCGGTTAAACCCCACGAGATCTATTCCCTTGCAGGTCATAACGCGATACTCCGATGTTTACATGAGGGTTTCATTGAAATCCGTAAGCTTGATCCGTAATAACGGAAATTCCTCTCCATTCGTTTGCGTTATAAAGGAAGTCGTATGTACTCTAAGTGTGGTCCCCTTTCCGCAGCAAGGCTGTGATGGATCGTGAGTTACCTTACGTCAAGTCACAACACTTTGGACTTATAATCTGATCTGCGTTGAGCACATATCTCCAAACGGCTATAAGTAGAACAAAGCAACGACAGTGACGATCAACGCAAATGGCATCCTATCTCATGCCGAGACCAGTGGTTTCAACGCTCCTCAAGCGATGTACAGCCCGCCCAATACCCTTCTTGGAGACCCAGATACTCAATTCAAGCACAGAATGGGAGGACCGTGAGTTGACACTCGGGTGGCGAGTCGACGTCAATTGATGGGAGAATTTACATACCGAGGGATCCTTTGGTGGGTCCACGGGGAAGATCTCGTCCTCGACGCTTCTACCACCCAAGCCAGCATGTGTTACAGTCTTGCACTTCATGTTGCAAGTCGATTAGTGCATTGTCGCTCATTTCCGCGATTGTGTTTCGATGAGAGGAAAGTTCAGACTCTCGACGTGTTTACACATCTTGGTCACTGCACGTTCACGCGTGACCTTTGCACCATCGCTGCACTCTGTAAGGTGAATAATTGATGTGTTAAATCAAACCGAGGTTCACGTTGTCGTTGTGAAGCTGCTTCCCTCCTGAGGTCAACTGCCCGAAGAGAAACGCAAAAAAGCGTCGTTGATTTTCATGGCGCATGGCTTAAAGTTGTGAGCACAATGGGCATGAGTCAGAAGATGAATACCTTGTGAGCCCATAACCACGTGTCAATTGAGTAGGCCTTCCAAGGTGAGGCGGAGGATTCTTTTCAAGTTCGGGAGATGTAAATGACCTTATTAAACCGTCAAAGTCATTCTGGGAATGCTCGGAGCTTCTCGGAAATGCGACACAGTCGACGAGTCATCTTGAGACGGGAACCATCAAACATTATGGGGCGGTCGGAGATCAGCTAAGATGACGAGCTCCAATATTTGGGCTCTTATTGGAATCTGAAGACAATTCCCTTCGGTCTGAACAGTGAGAAGACCCGATTACCGCTTCTGAGATGTTCCTGACCAAGATGAAACTGGGCTTTCATAAGAAGGGTGCCTGAGTCAGAATGAACAGACGGTTAGCTGGCTTTTGGAGACGATTCTTCACAGCCATTTAAGACGTCGCGTCTTGAATGGAAATAGCAAGCCGACTGCCCATGGTAAATCCACTATTCCTGTCGGCGCCTGCTGCTTCGTCAATTCTCGCCCTCTTTGTGATCTTTTGGTGGGCCGAACTTGATTGTGTGATCTGATCGTTTCCATATTCAAGCTGCCAGGAGGACAGCTTTGAATGATGAGGTTGACTTGCTCTCCGGGTTGACATGACAGTCCACCGAGCGAGGTGGACCTCACGCGTCCGTGTCCTACTGTATGCAGGCACGAATGTAAGTCAGATGATGGTTGGGTGATTGATGTTCGCATCGATCGAAGTGTCAGGGGCGCATATTGAGTCTCTGCGCAGTCGGTCTTGCTTTTAGATTCTCCCACTGACGATACTCCCCTCATTGCGGATGTGGCGTGTTGCGATGGATGTTTAATATGGTTTTGCTATATCGACCTGGAGTCGATGCTCTTCGTCCCTTGCGAGTTGAGGATTATGAGATTGACTCGTACCTGGACTCGACTTGCATGGGCCCTCGGAATGCTTTGTGATGACGATCTAACTTGATCATTCAAACCCAGCAAACCGCGTGCGCCAATAGCAATGCTTGGAAGAAGCAAATTGGAAACAATGCCGTGCATGAAAAAACAGCAGGAGATCATGTATACATGCATAGTTAAAGCATGAGGAAGACGCATTCAAATAGAAGTCTGGCCAGTTGAGGTTTAACGCTATGGTGCAGCAAGGAGCAAACATGAAAGTAGGCGATGAAGGTAGAATGTGGATAGTTACACTGCAGCGTAGACGAAGTCGAGCATTGGATGTTCGCAGGGTCCAAATGCTGTCGGGTACTGAGCGGAAAGTCCTAATAAGTGATTGCAAAAGATCGGTAATATCGCAGCTCTCGGCTCCTCCTTTTTCGAGCAACATCATCATAGTAGAGAATCCATGATGCAGCAATCACTTGAAATTGTTAAAGCACGGGAATACCAAGGGAGAAGAGCCTGAATAGTCAGTGAAATCTTTGTTCCAGTAGGCTATGATTGGGCTGCCTTTGCTGGTTCTTTCACCTCTCGCGCTGGGTCGATCATCATCCGGCTTTTCTGAAGTACTCCATCTCTTTCGCTTTCCGGATTCCCAAACACTACTTCTCCACTTGCAATGCTCTCATCCGCCAATTCATCCAGTCCTTTCAATACTCCCCGAATGTAGCTCACCACCTCCCCCACCCCTCTGAAATCCACATTTTCATCCGCCTTGAATATGTTTCTCCAAACTGCTGTAGCTAGCACCGCATCTCCCCTTACAAGTCCCTCATCATAGCCCGCCATCAGTCCGCGCCATTGCACGAACAAGTCTTTCAAGTATTTATTGCGTATGGACCGTGCGGCAATATTGTGGGTGACGACCATCCGGTCTTCGGCGATGTAAAAAAAATGGTCGAGAAGATGTTGGTGCCATACTGGAGCATGAGCAGGAGGGAAACAGCGTAGGCGGCAAGTGAGCAGGTACATGTGAAGGAAAGTTATCTGGGCCCAGGTATTGAAGGTTGGTGTGAGACCGAGGGCTGAGAAAAGGTCAATATTGTAGTCATGAGCTGTCGCAAGACCGCGAGATTCGCTCACTCTCGAACCACCATCCCGTGCCAACACCTAAGTCCTCTCCATCCTTAGTCTTGGGTACCTCGACGTTCTTTTCATGTGCTTGCGGAATCGCGTAGTCTGCTTGTCGAGCACATTCCTTGACCAGATTCTCACAAACACCATAAGCAACGTATGTCTCTGTTACGGAAGAGACTCGCTTGTGAAGCTCCTCTGCAATTGAGAGACTAGGTGCGGCGGGGGAGGGCGAGCCAAGTTCTTTTCCTTCAGAGGGAACGCCGTTTGGGTCCTCTCGGGACCCCGGATTCGTGGGAGGAGGTTTTGGCTGATACGGCTTAGGGGTGGCCTGCGGTACTGACAGGAGGCGGCTTGTCGAGAATAGTCTAGGAGTATTGTGTATTGAAGAGTATGCGGCGCGTGCTCCATAGATGTCCCGTGAGCGTCCAAGCTGACGAGATTGTTGGAGTACTTGGCGGCATGCTACACAAACAGAACTTGGAGCCATTTGGGCAATTTAAGATTTTGACTGCAGGAAGTGAGGTGATTGAGTCGCTACAAGACTTGATTGAAGGTATATTCATCTAAGTTGCTCGAGTGGTTGCCGTCATGACTTTGCACGTTCAGATCGGAGCAGGTTTGCCGACGCGCCTCGAGACGCGGTTGCACATGGGCAAAGAATCATTCTACAGCAAGAATAGACCATGAATTGAAGTTCGGAAGATATTTCATTGGAACTGATGGTATCATGCAATTCAAAAGGACGCCTTGCAAATGCTGTGACCGCTGAACGCTTCAGATTCCTGGCAAATGCATGCGTATCCTATAGCTACCTGATTACCAGGCGCTCGAGTGATTTATCCACAATGGGTAGCAGATCATTTATGTTGTTTGGATCTCGTAGCTGCGCTGGCACATCTTGGCCTCTCGATGCAAGTTTCTGGAAAGCAAAGATTAGTAGTGGACGCGCGAATGGAACGTTTCTGCAGTGCTCCTCACCTGCCTAACCACCTCGTACTTCTCCTCTTTCGCAACATATTCCCTGATCACCTCTCCCGTCCCAAAGTCGACATATACTCTGGTGTCCCTGATCCTGAGCACTACGTTGTCTAGACGCATAAAGAAGCGACAGAGAAGGAGCAACCGCGCTGGCATGACCCTGATCTTGCACGAGTACATCGTGATGCCATTGTCTGCCATCTCGTCTTCGTAGAGAATGATCTCATCGAAAAAGAGGATCGGGTCAGGGCGTTTGAGTAGCTCCAGTGGTATTGGTGTCGTTGTAATCTCAAAGAGCGGTGACTGTGAACGCAAAGTGCCCTTGTAGTCGGTGCTATATGACCAGTCGAATGGCTTGACCACCTCCGTGATACCCTCGTGCTTCTTTTCCCTATCTCGCCTCAGCATGCCTCGACACGCCAACAGTATATGCCCTGGCATACCGAGTACTCTGCCATTCCCTCGAATGTGCGACTTGAAGCATTGACCCTCCTGTCTTATCAACTTGATCCAGCGCATCATAGGTGTTGAATTGGAGTCCCCATCCACTTTCGTGGTCGATGGAAACCAGGTTGTCACCGAAGATCATTTCGGGAGGTGCAATCCCCAGTCTCTTCGTCATCTGTTCGATAGGCTCAGCTTTAAGTATTGGCAGCTTTCGCGTAGTGATTTTAAAGCCATGCTGAGTGATTGAGTTGCCTGCGTCGGCTGCTGATGGGTAATGCGAGCTTGGCTCAATCCGCCCGTTGTCTGCCATGGCAGGTCCAGGCTTCAACCTAACAGATTCATCCTCATCTGAAACTAAGTGAAGGCCCATCGAGTAAGACGACAAGAGTTTTGCCCCGCGAATTTAAGCTAGGGCTGGCCGCTGGTAACTCCGCCAACCAACCGGTCGGCCGCTAATAAACAAAAGCTGGAGCTCACCATCTACAAGTAACGAGTGAACGCCCTCACGACAGAGTCTCGAGTTACTCGCCTTTTTGACTGGTCTAATCTTTTTCTAAGTTCTATCAAGTCGTCCTCTTAAGATGGCAATTAGAGCGATTGAGTCTCGCTTTGAGCAACTGTCAGTCACGGACGAGAATGAGCCAGTCAACGGAGGCGGTACCTTCCACAAATCAAAGGTAGAGAACAAATTCGTCCCGCTATTGATCGCTTTACTCATCGAGTCCTAGGGATCTTTCTCGTCGGCAATGTCAATATCTGGACTCGGCTCCACCACCCAACTGACCTCCAATCCAAATCGCTCGAATCTCCTCAAGATTGCGCTTCAAAACAACAATGATGCCAATACAAAAGCAGCAACAATTACCACGGTCAATGTTGCCTCACAAGCTGCCCACTGGCGCGGCTCCACCATTCCTGCTCCTTCTTCACCACCTCGAAAGGGCGCCAGCTCTTCCTCATCCGCACGACCCTCAGATGAAAGCGCCATACAACGATTGTCTAATCCACCAATATATGAGCAACCGCAACCGAAAAAATTCCACCTTGGGATGTTCGAGATTGGAAAGCCCCTAGGCAAGGGCAAATTTGGGCGGGTATATCTGGCCAAAGAGCGATCGACTGGCTTCGTGTGCGCGCTGAAGGTCCTCCACAAAAGCGAGCTGCAGCAAGGAAAGGTGGAGAAGCAAGTGAGACGAGAGATAGAGATCCACAGCAATCTGCGCCATCCCAACATTCTCCGCTTCTACGGTCACTTCCACGACAGCAAGCGAGTTTTCCTCATTCTTGAATTTGCTGGCAAAGGAGAGCTGTATAAGCATCTGCGAAAAGAGAACAAATTCCCCGAGTGGAAAGCAGCACAGTACATCGCACAAATGGCCGCAGCATTGAAGTATCTGCATAAGAAGCACGTCATGCACAGGGACATCAAGCCAGAGAACATTCTAGTGGGAATCCATGGAGAGATCAAGATCTCAGATTTCGGATGGAGTGTGCATGCCCCCAATAATCGAAGAAATACCATGTGTGGCACTCTCGACTATCTTCCACCGGAGATGATCAAACCAGGAAGCCAGGAGAATTTCTATAACGAGAAGGTGGACTTATGGAGTTTGGGCGTCCTGACCTATGAATTCTTAGTGGGAGAGGCACCTTTCGAAGACACACCAGTTATGACACAAAGACGAATAGCCAGAGGGGAGATGACGGTGCCAAAATTTGTGAGCCCTGAGGCAAGGGACCTGATTGAAAGGGTAAGCTCTGTTTCTGCTCATGCGCACGCTTTATTTTTCTTTTGGCCTTCCACTCTGGTCAGATTGCACCGCGCGAAGATTAGTGGGGGCCCGCCTTGCTGTGTCTGGTAATTCACATAGGTCGAATTGTGCGGCGCTCTACGACGAGTCGCGTGGAATCGACGCTACACCGCGCCTCACGTTGACCAATGTGGGAAAAGTATAAATAGCTGACACTTCGTTTAGCTACTCGTCCTCGACCCAGAGAAGCGCATTCCCCTTGTTGAAGTCCAGAAACATCCCTGGATTGTCAAGCATTGCATCAAAGGCGAAAGAGCAACCCAGAGAAACTCAGCTTCAAAGGAGACAAAGTTGGCTATACCGGCAATCATCCAAGCAGTCAACAGGACTGGACTGGATGAATAGCTTCGGTGTACCTTTCTCGGAAGGTAACTGGCGTTGAACATTTCCATTCGTTGCCGTGGACAGGTTATGTAGGGTTTTGCATAATGCTCGGAGTTGAGGATATCTCTAATGGTGGTGAACGCCTCTGACAATGCTGGTATGATGTTTGTCCGGATCTATCTCTCCGGCAAACCCCCCACATCTTTTCACTTGTATATCTCATCAAAAGGCCTCGTATCCGCAAAACAGCTGTCCCAGACCTCGTTCACCACCTTGGCAGCCTCAACGTCGTCCTTGCAATTCGGTCTCTTGGACACTGATATCGCCGCTCGGCGTCTCACGCACTCCTGATGCTGATATGTGACCTTCCATTGCGCCCTATGCCAGAACTCCCTCCAAAACCTACACTCGCCACTCAGAGATGAAGCTCTGATTTCAGTGCAAGCAGCGTGCCGTAGATCATGTGTTTCGAAGTCGACTTTGAATCGGAGGTAGTCGTAGGCATGAACCATCTCTGTGCAAGCCTCAGTCTTTTGTTTCAACTTTCGTAGAATTGGGCCTCACCATGAGTCAAAGTATCCTCCAAAGGCTCCGGTCGATTCGCGCAAAGCATGATCCCATAATCCGGATGGAGTCCTCCACCTTGCGCCCCCTCACATTTCACGCACTTTATATTCCCTTCGTGCAAATCGCCTCCCAGATCACTGATCTTCTGGTGCATGAATCGTACTATTGGACCTGGCAGTCCTTAGCAAGCGCCAGTATCGGATTGTAGAGGTGCAGTACTGTATTGCAGCAAGTAATCCCTTTGGTCTTCACACTTCTTGCAATCAGTCGCCGCACAACGGTCATCACGCCCCTTCTTGTATTGTCGGTTGCCCTCTTCTGTCAATCGGCCAGTCAGGTACCTGAATGTGTTGCGCCATCGTATCCAGGGGTCGTCGGTGAAGGTGTAGCCTGTGTTTTCAGGACTCGATCGCGAATTTGATGGGCTGTTATCTGAACCATTGGCTTGAGAAGATGGATCTCCGTCAGACATTGGTGGACCGAGAAGTGGTTGTTGAGGAAGACATGCAAAGGTTCTTGTTGAAGCCGCCAAGCCAAAATCTCCGCTCCGGTTCCGCTCCGAGAATATTTTCGTCTTACTCCAGTGCACAGCGTGTCAAACGCTCAGACGGTCAAAGCGGTGAGACCAGATCGCTCCGAGCGCTTGGAATTGGTCCATAATTTGGCACTTGAGCAATGGCAAGGTGATACTTTACACAGGTAAGCATGAAGGGCCACAAACATCTCACCATTGTGATCAAACTGGGTATGCAAGGTATGGGGCGTGTTGGGTTACAGAAGCTAACCGGAGATATTTTACAGGCTCGAGCTCAATAGTCCACGAGAAGACTCATGAGCCCCTACTGTCTGTACTTTCCCTCATCGTCGAGACCGCCGTCGCCCTCATCAAAGATGGACACCGAGTCGTCATTGTCTCCTCTGGAGCCATTGCGGTTGGACTACGAAGGATGGATGTGGAGAAGAGGCCGAAGCATCTGCCCAGAATACAGGTAGAGGGCTCCTTCATGGTTCTGGCGGAAAAAAAGTATGTTAACGTTTGTATAAGGCACTTGCAGCGGTAGGGCAATGTCGTCTTATGAGCCTCTGGGAAAGCCTGTTCGCCCACCTGCGACAGCCTGTTGCTCAGATCTTACTGACGAGGAACGACATAGCTGATGTACGTAGAATATGGTAGTTCATTCGGGTGTATGGTAGGCTAACGAGGGAGCAGCGGACGCAATATTTGAATGCTCAAAACACGTTCACTGAGCTTCTAAACATGGGGGTAATTCCCATTGTGAATGAGAATGATACTCTAGCTGTCTCTGTACGTAAGCAAAAGAATGTTTTGCGAATCAACATTGCTGAACGTGCCTAGGAAATTCGACAAATCGAGAAATTTGGTGACAATGACACCCTCTCCGCCATCAGCGCAGCCATGGTGCAAGCGGACTATCTCTTCCTCATGACAGATGTGGACTGCCTCTACGACAAAAATCCTCGGACGCACCCAGACGCTCAAGCAATCGAAGTCGTCGAAGATGTATCTTCGCTCGAAGCAGACGTGTCCTCCGCCGGCTCCTCTCTAGGCACTGGTGGCATGTCCACTAAAATAGTCGCAGCCCGTCTTGCGACCTCCGCCGGCGTCACCACGGTCATCACACGCTCTTCAAATCCTGGAAACATCGTGAACATCGTCAACCACGTCCAAGCCCAGAAGACCGCGGAGGTCCACTCCGAACTCCCTTCGAATCCAGCTACCCCGGCAGAAAACACCCCTCTGTCAAGTTCGATATCCTCGCTCCACGTCGACGCTCCTCCAACCCCACCGCTCCACACCCGCTTCCTCCCCGATCCCTTCCCTATCCGCGACCGCTCCTTCTGGCTCCTCCACGGCCTCGCCCCCCACGGGACCCTCTTCATAGACCAAGGCGCCCACCGCGCCCTCGCCTCCAAAGCCGGGCTCCTCCCTGCCGGCATCGTGGATGTCGAGGGGCAATTCGCACAGCAGGAAGCCGTACGGCTGGTCGTTGTGAAACGAAACCCGCCCGCATGGTCGTCGGCGGCTCATGGGAACGGTGTCGATGTGGGAGGCGTGCCTGTCGATGTGGCACCGGCGCCTATAGAGGTAGGCAGGGCACTCGTGAATTACTCGGCGGCGGAAATAATGAGGATCAAGGGGATGAGGAGTACGGAGATTGGCGGGGTATTGGGGTACGCGGACTCGGAGTATGTGGCTTTGAGGGAGAATGTTAGTTTGACGAAGAGGGAGAAGAGTAGACCTGTTACTCCGAGTGCGAGTTCTGGGAATGCTGCACAAGCTAGTTAGGTGGTTTTCCTTCAGCTCGAGGACTATCCTCGGCGTGCATCTGAGTGAAAGGAGGCGCTTGTATACTCATTGCAGTAGAGCATTTAGCATTGAGCAACTACAAATTGCTTGGATATACTGCGCATTTTGCCAGTACATGAGCACTTCGTGTCCGTAGAAGACGCTCATCCAAGCCGCGCTCGAGTCTTATGCAAACGCCTCGATGGACAGAAATCTGCCAGCACATTGGAAAACGCCTTCAATACCCATCCTCGTATGAAGGTATCATCTCGCATCCTTCATCTGGCTACTACTGTTCCCCGTCATATCCTCAAAATCCAACGTATACTGATCGACCTCTCGAAACTTATCCGCCAGCCTCTTCATCTCGTCCTTTGCCTTGCCATCCAACGCAGGAGTCTTCCTACTGCCTCTGCTGAAAACACCATTCTCGTTCTCCTCCTCGCCGTCGTCGTTGTCGTCTTCGTCATTTTCGTTGTCAGACTCCACAGTGATCTTCTTTGTGTAAGTCTTGGACATCCTCTTCCCCGGAACGTCTTTTGCTTTTCCTCCGCGTTTCTGGACAATGGGGAAAGGCTTCTTCCGTCGCGCCTTCGTTGTAGCATGAAAACTAAGCTCATCTTCATCCTCACCAAGACCGGTGTTGTCAAGCTCGACATCGCTGCTGCTGGGGATGTCGTATTCGCCTCTAGGTTTTGGGCGAGCTCGCCGCCGCGGGAGCAGATTTTGGAGTGTGGCTGTCGTGAGCGGTTTTAAGGGGACTGGCTTGATTGGTGATATATTTGTAGAAGCAGATGAGAGTGGCGAGGGCGCTGGAGAAAGTTGCTTGCGCCTGGATTGCTGAGGGCGCGTAGCGACTTCGGTATTTTTACTTCGGGTCTCGCGTGCCTTGGGTTTCACCGGACTGCTACTCCGAGGTGGCGCAAGAGTGTCGCTGTCTATCTGCCGTTGCGGTGTTTGAATAGGGCGTTGTCGTGGAAGTGTTGGTTCTGGTCTCCCTTCTTCAGCTGGTAACCCGTACAGATCTTCTTCCTCTTGAGGTAGGACCGAAGGAGGCGAGGATGGAGGGTCGAGTGATTGTGATGCTGGGACTTGAATCTCTGGGGTTGCCAATTTGCGCTTGCGTGACCCCGGGGTTTGACGTGAAGATGAGGACGTGTGCTGGGCATCTGTCTGTAACATCGACTTGATCATCGGAGTTGACTCATCGTCTGGGCGAAAGTCATCCAATGCATCGTCATCCAAGTCGTCGCTCGGGTCGTTCTGTGTTTGTAGCATTTGGAGCAGGCTAGGTTGTCTGGCTCTCTTTTTGAACGTAGCACCTAGCATTGATGGTTGTGGGCGGGGCGTTTCGCCAATCCTCGATCCCAAGCCCATCTGAGTGCTCTTGGTGGCCGACGAGTTTCCCAGGCGGTTTAAAGATGGCTTTGACACTGGAACGGGCTCCGTAGGTATCGAGGATGGAATTTGGTCAGGTTCAGTTGCGGCCTCCGCTTGTGCTACACCCTGCCTTGCCTTCCCCTCGGCCACCGTTGTTGCATAATCGGCCTCCCTAGCAATTTTCGAGATCGCAGCTCTTGTCTGGTTTGATGGCGGCTTAAGGCGAGTCGGTCCTATATCCTCTGGAGCCAATGCCCCACTCATCGTATATTCCTGCGCTTTAGTACCCCTTCTACGCGCCTCTGTCTTTTTCGAAACCACCAAACCATCGCTATCATCGCTGGTAGTAGTGACGCGTCCTGACGATGCTGGAGAGAACATGAGTTGTTGCTTCTGTGCTGCGGATGCTATTGCTGGTTTGGCGAGGTGAGGAAAAGTGATAGGGGCTGATGGCGCGACCTTGGAGCGCTTTGGACGAGGCATTGCACACGTACTTCTTCAATTATGCGCTGTTTCTTTTCGGAGTGTGAGGTGGTTTGAAGGGATGCTGAAAAGTGACGATGTTTGCGACGCGTCGATGTTCCTAGCTGTATTGATTCGACCACTCCGAGCTAACCCAGATGCGTCAGTAAGTACACAATCTTGATAAATCGAACACATTTTCCTCCATATTCTCTGCGACTACTATTTTAATAACACCCCATACATGTCTGAGTGAAAAAGTATTCCTACTGGATGGAAACGAGCCCCAAAGCCTGATTCTTTAGTTCGCAAGGCAATACTAGTTTTTCCAGAAAGGGTATCTACTGGTTCCATCCCACTCAGAATAGTCAAAAGACCGTCGAGCTACAAGATGCTTGTACTGAAGCGTTGTCCTTTTCCCATCCGACAATACTGACAAAGGTATAGGTTCCCACGCAAGGCCCATACGACCAGTTCCTGCTGTTTGGCGACAGCTTGATCCAGCAGTCGTGTAGTCAAGCAGCTGGCTTTGCATTTTGTCCAGCGTTGCAAGATGGTATGACTAGACTCTTCCGATTTTCACATCAGAAGCCCCACACGAGTCTTGCACCAATGCCTGTGTAGTTAACCGAATTCTAACTGTCAATCGCGCCTGTTAGCTTTCATTAGACGGCTGGATGTTATCAACAGGGGCTTTTCTGTAGGCCACCTATCTCTATGCATAGCAGTCGAGCGAAGCTGAGAGACTAGGGGTACAATACGGCCAATGCAATACTAGCCTTACCCGGCTTCATGCCCAAGCCAGAGCAAGCACGTCTTAGGTTCATGGTACGCCCGAAAGAGCATTCTTGAAATACATCTAGCTTATTTCCTATTGGATAAGGCCGTCTTCTTCGGCGCCAATGACGCGTGCCTACCAGGGAGTGCGACAGGTCAGCAGATACCGCTCAACGAATACAAGAAGAATCTGAGAGATATCCTTGAGCATTCAAGCGTCGTTGCACAGAAACCTCGACTGATCCTTCTCACGCCTCCCCCTGTCAACGAGTATCAGATGGAAACATCCGAGCGAGCCCGGGGATACAAGGATCCACTAAGGTCCGCAGAGCACACAAAGGAGTACGCAGATGCTTGTCGTCAAGTCGGAGCAGAGGTTGGAGTTGCCGTGCTTGACGTTTGGTCCATCTTCATGGCAAAGGCTGGATGGAAAGGGGGCAAACCACTGGTAGGCTCGAAGAAGGTGGCGAGGAGTGAAGTTCTGGAGAAGCTGCTGAGTGACGGTGAGTTATTGGTACTGCGAAGATCTTGAAAGCTGGGATGGCTAAGATCGACACAGGGCTGCATTTTCGACCAGACGCATATCGGCTTCTTTACGATTCAATGATGGACTTGATCCAGAAGGAGTGGCCCGATCAAGCTCCAGACAATCTACGCTTCATCTTCCGATCATGGCCGGAAGCACCTAAGTAATTTCTGTTTCCTACGCTTCTCTTGAATTCCAGGCCCTGCTTCACAAACATAGAATATAGAATGGGCGGAATTAATGAGAAGAATTCAAGGGTGGATAACATCTGATTATTGATGCTGAAAAGCACTCAGATTACAACAAGCAGAGGAGGATGTCTCGAGGTCCCGGAGCCGCTGCGGGGGAGGATTAATCAGTTGCCGGCTTTGGGTGTTTGCTATGAAAATTCGCGTGACCCGTGTGTCCAACTTCAGCGCCCGCATCCAGGAATCAATGCCCATGCCGTGCTAAGTCGCTAGAACGCATTGGAATCAGGTGCACTAACGTTTCAGGTGCAACATGGCACACCAAGCGTTGTGCTTTTCCTAGCCACGACCCATCCCCGTCCCTCGGGCTAAGTCCTCCCTCTCACTCCCAAAAGTGACCGTAAGGGGTCCCTGCAAATTGGCTGCAATACAACTTTTCGAGCGTCATCCGGCCTTTCCAGGGAGTATCGACGCACTTTTTGCACTTTCGACCCATCAGATGCATATGAGCCTGCTCCGCCTCACTGATCAAGCCTGTTGCAATCGATACGGTCTTTTCTGGAGGCTCCGAAGGGCGAATCCAACTAAGTGCTTCCACGTTAGCATCCGAGATCATCCGACAGCATCCGCTGGGACAATAACAATGCGTAAAGTCCATCTGCAGCGACACGAGCTGTAAGTTCCAAATGTCAAGAGCACAGCACATCTTCACCCAAACCTCCACGAGGTGTTTCTTGCGCTCTTCATGGATTGCCGTGGCGCGCGCAGCATCCGTGAGAGAGGCGTTCTGGCCCGTGAACAGGTCTCGAGATATCCTCCCCATCTCTGTTGGATCGACCACGTCGCAGTCGAACCTAACCGACACGTGGCGCACGTGAGACCAGAACAGGGCCGGTAGCGGAATCTCCGGCTCCTCGTCAGTTAGTATTCTGCAAGATAGCATCCATCTATTCTTGCCATAGAAAGCGTGGGCCGCCTCGGCTCGAATCATCGAACTGACTGCGAGTAAGGGAGCAGACGGCCATCTGAGAGCGCTGCCTGTAGCGATGTCGTCTCTGTCCCGACGCGAGGGAAGGACTGCGAGCTCTACGGGGTATACGAGACAGAGGTCGTATATCATGTCTCGGAGTTCTTGCGGCAGGGTGACGAAGGAAGGATCCTGCGAGACTGGCATGGTGATTTGATGAGAAGACTGGACGAGCTGTTTGTTAGCATCTACTCAAGGAAAATCGTTTGACGGCGAACAGCAGATCTACGGAGCCTCTTACCATTATCAAAGCACGGATCTTCAATGGACGCTAGGATCTAGCAAGACGAGGCCACCAAGGCCAACACTAAGACAGCGTTGATGGGATTGGCACAGAGAATAAGATGTACTAGTAGGCTTCATCAGGAAGGCGTGAATGCCAAGTACCAGCTGTTTGTTGATTAGGACATGCCAGGGATCGTGGCGTGGGGAAAAACTTCATGCAGTGATTCTCGAAAGAGAAAAGGATGGTGTTCACTTGCATTCTGATGGTCATAATACCAGAGGTGTGTCATTACGTCACTTGTCAAAACCGTGTTGTAAAGCGTGAAGTGATAGAAGTGCGGGACCGTTCGAAAGTGACCGCGGTCATTTTGCGGTTATTTTGCGGTCATGTTGCGAACTGGGTAAGAGTGTATGTGAATTCGCCCTGCCATTCATTCAGGGATTAAAATGCAGACAACGTCTACAGGGTTTGTCAATGTCTAGGTTAATGAATGCGATCACGGACGGGATAGATACTCGAATCCGGGAAACATCTTTGCGAGCGCTGAATACTATAACGAGATTGAACAACGCGGCAGAGACTAGAATATGGCAAACCCCGCAAGCAAAGCAACATCGGAGCCTGAAAACTGAGTGAGAGAGAGAGAGGGGGGGGGAAGGGTATAGAGTACGACGTATCGTAATGGCTTAAAATCCTCCTCTACACCTTCTCTTCCGATCGCAACTTCGTCTAGGCTATGTACAATGGTGTTATAGTTTACCTTCACAGGGAAGGCTTTGCCTGAGAGACAGGATTGATTACTTATCAATCAGTTAGCTTGTACCAGTCACCCTGGACGACGTTTTGGCGTCAAAGATTTGGCAGCTGCCATGCCACCATACTAACCAGACATCCGTTTTGCCTGTCAGCTTATAGGTAGACTATTCGCGGAGAGAGTGATGATGAAGAATGATGATCGAAGTTGATTGCTTACCACGTACCTTATATCAGTATTCTAGGACAACGTTTCCGCGTCTCAGTCCTAGCAGCTTCTATCCCGCGATATCACCTAATCACCTTTATCGTACGATACTGATCAAACACCCATCTTGCTCTTCACCGGAGCGCCCCCCCGTTCCTCGACCGATTGCCCGCAGAGCCTGTCCGCTTACAGACTCTTCGTAGGGAGTGTGGTAGTAGAGAGAAGGAACAACAGGCTATCAGGCTGTTTCACAAGCTCACAAGCACAGCCTACTTGAGGCTCTTGAAAAAGATCGGCGCAGCCCCTCCCTCGGTTGAGACTGGCCCCCGGTTGGGACCCGAAACTCTCCGACTTCGGGGGCTTTGAGTGGGGGCCCAGAGGCGCAGCGGGGAGCCTCTGACGCCATGGCCAATCAAAACCCCCCCCCCCCCGGCCCCCGCCATCTTTGAGCGGCCTCCGGTACGTAATATCTCTTACACATCAACAAACGAACTTACTCGCCAAATCTGCCCCATCCACAATGGTCCTTACGGTCCATCACCTCGGCCGTTCTCAATCCGAACGCATAGTCTGGCTCTGCGAGGAACTTGGCCTTGACTACCAGCTCAAGGTCTACGACCGCTCTCCCCTGCTCGCACCACCGGAACTCAAGAAACTGCACCCATTGGAGACCGCACCCATCATCACGGATGGCGATGTCACGCTCGCCGAGTCTGGGGCGATCATGGAATACATACTTGTGAAATATGGCGAGGGAAAATTAGTGGTAGGGCCGGAGGAGAGGAATTATGCGGATTATCTATACTGGTTGCACTTTGCAAATGGCACGCTGCAGCTCTCGGTGAGCAGGAATATGTTTTTGCGAATGGCGCAGTTGCCTGCCGAGAATCAGGTCATGGGAGCGGCGGTGTCAAGACGAGAGCATGCTATTGGTCTCATCAACGACAGGCTAAAGGACAATGAGTGGTTGGCGGGGAAAGAGTTCACTGCTGCCGATATCATGACGGTGGTAAGCTTGACGACGATGAGGCTGTTTATACCGTACAGTTTGGAACCGTATACGAACGTAATTGCATATCTGAAAAGAGTGGGCGCGAGGGAGGGGTATCAGAGGGCGATGGCGAAGGGGGATCCAGGGTTGGCACCTGTGCTTGGTGCTGAGGCGCCGAAATCGTTAATGTGATGGGATTTCACGTGACTCATTTGTAGAATCATGGGATCAAATTACCCTTGGGATGAATGTTCAGCATAATTGGAAGACTCGTTCCGAGTCTGGCGGAGAACGCTAGCATCGACAATAGGCCTGGACGCAAAGATAATATAATAAGACCGAAATAAAGACCGAAATCCATCACAGTCCAGATACGCTGCTGCCGATCCAGACGGATGATGTTGCAGTTGAGTCTCTTCCAAGAGCTTCTGTACAACATTCGCAATGACACTGTGCATGGGCCAGAGAATGGCAAAATGTATTGCTGTACTAGGCTGTCGTATCCGCAGTTGCCGTTCGAATTTGGCTTAAGATTCAGCAACGATCATGGCAACTTCAACGATGAGTCTCGTCGGTGCTTCCATGACGGCTTGATTTGATCTTGTGATGTTGTGAAAACTCAAAGTCCGCATCTTGACATCAGCATCTCTGGGCTCCCCGTATTGCAGTCGTGGAATGCCAGGCTCGCAAGGCTATCAGGTGTAGACATCAGCGAGGTATGTAGCCTCGTCCTTGACCACGCTTCCCTGTCATCGGTGGCAACCATCATGATCCATCTCACCATACCAAAACTTGTTTCCCACAACTGAATGATGAAACAGAAAGGAAGATGGGGAATCAATATCGCGCATTGCGCCTTGTAGATAAATAATTTCACCACCGCAGGCATGTATATCGTCAGCTTACTGGCAGTGACAGCTCAGGTGGGAGCGTTATGTAGTAGTATCTCCATGAGGCTGAAATGAAAGTCCATTAGTGATCTTCGCCGCAGTGACAGACTGGTCTTCAAGCTAGGTAGAGCGTCGGGCTCCCGCAGAATTTTTTGTGGAAGCGTGTGATAACATCCGCCACAATATAACGAATGGCTGGCATGCCGTATTTTGGCAGTGCTTAGAGGCCGTGCTTTCGGCGAGATGAACGAGATGTTTGCAGCTTAGAAGAAAGGCTACCGGCCACCAGCCAGCGGGTTCTGCGGACGCTTGGGAGGTCAGATGAGCATGCGGTTAGTGGTGGCAGCGACTTGCTGTCATTATTCCTTTGAGGCTTAATGGTAAGACAATCGACGTCAACGAGGGTGGCAAGTGGGCAGAAATGTTGGTGCTTTTCGAGGATTTGTTTGTTTGGGGGTGCGCAGCAAGCAAGGATGTAACCCCCGGAGTTTGAGATATTTCCATTTCGGCGGCTACCAGCCAGTGCTTCCATGCTTCAGAAGGCAAATGTAACCAATGGGCACCAGCCATGCTATCAAAATCATCGAATTGCCTCCAAAGAGCCTCAAAAAAATGCCACAGCGCTTGGACAATAATGTGACACTGAGTAGCATTTCTTATTTCTTGCACAGGAGGGTGCTGCGACACCACCACTATGAAGTAGGTAAGGTATGTCTGCTTCGCCTCATGCCCAGAGGCTAACCGCATCAGGAAAGCGCTTAGAGGCTCAAGGTCAACAGACTCAGCATTTAGCTACTAAAGAAGATATAAGTAGACGCTACTCATTATTCCTTCCTTTAATCCTACAAAAGGTCTCATAGCTCACAGAGCCAAATCCTATATTATATTTATCCCAAAATACCTGGACCCTAACTTACATCCCAAGCGGCTCATCGTCCCCTTGGGCCTTGTTTCAGACTCGTCAATAGACCCCCAAAGCTACCGGATTTCCTTTCTAAAAAGCTCAAATGCTCAAGGACGTGCCACGTTCCTGTGCAATGTCCGCTTAGAGTATGTCTCCTCCGAAGGTCCTTCAGCAATTGTCTCGGTAAGTCCACTCTCCCATCTCTGCAAGGCAACCGTCTGATAGTGGTCCAGCCTCCAGGCACTCACAGACAAGTGCGGTTGAATTATCTCGCCAACAGAACCAAATCCTGTCCCCCAAGGCCCAAAAGCCTTCAAACCTCATCAAAGCCTAGGGCCCCTCTCCCGACAGTTAGAGTCAGATACTCCACCGAGTCAGATGTGCAGGATCGAACAATTCCATGTTGTCTACCCCGATGAAACTCGTGAAAGAAGAGAGCAGGTGGTACCTTGCCGTTACGGGACTCGCAGCCAGCCATGCAGGCATCCTGAGGTTGCCAACCTCGGAGATCGTCTTGCCTCGGCCTCCGACTTGAGACGTCCCCTGCAGCCTCATATTGTTCCGATTGAACCTAGGGATTTGGAAAGCTCGCGACTCCGTCCAAGAAGTATGGAGACATCAAGAGGTCCGATTGGGGGTCTGGCACTGAACATCAAGTTTTGGAACCCATTCTCATCCAAGAATAAAGAGAAGAAAGGGAAGATGCAGTATTATGTTGTCAGAAAAACGAAAAAGTCGGAACGTGGCCCAGCTGTCATCCAACAGCAGCCACCAATTCCACCACCTCCTAGAACGCATTTCGTACCGCTGGTTCGAGGAGAACATCCAGTCGTCATACCAATGGAGCCTCCCGAACGCCCTCCCACTCACCATCCCCTTGGGCGTGAGCGGAGAAGAAGAAGCCCTGTCCCTGCTGTTATCCATCAATCTAGCGAAGAGGACGAAGACGAATCACTCTCCCCACTAGAAGCGAATCGTGAACACGGTCGACGCACCCGATCTCTATCACCTAATCACAGATATCATGTCGAGAAAGAGAGAATCAGACAGAGAGAGCTTAGACAACGAGAGTATCAAGAAAGAATCAAACGGGAAGAACGCGAAGCTCGGGAGCGAGCCAGCATTCTTGAACATGTGCACCGACAACGCGCGATGGAGGAGCGACAGGAGCAAAT